CTTTTCCGTTTGCTTGTTGTAACAACTTCATGAAAGTATAGTTGTTATATCTTCTTCCCCGAGTTAAACTTTTAAAGTGCTTCCCTTTCCTTCTCGGCCCAGGAGACTATGGGCTGGGAAGTTCTCCTCTGGCCCCTAAGCTTCCAGAACAACTCAAATGGTCTGAGAATGCAGTCCATCTCTAAGCTGGAACCACTTCACCCATTTAGTGCCCCTTCCCCACCCTTCCCCTGATGCATAAGCTCCATTCAGGGACTGGTCAAAATCTAAAGAGGTGGGAGCAGGGTAGGCTGAGGGTCTCGTCTCTGTCTGGGTCCCACATTCTCCTACAGTCTTCATTGCCTCTAAATGTCAGAATGTCAGAGGAGCAGAACCAGAGAGCAATACTCAGTCAATGGGCTCAGATGGGGTGAGGAGGGGGCAATTTTATATTGATGAACTTGGATTTCAAGGGCAGGAGGAGCTCAATATGGTTTGATATAAATTAAATTGCCATTAGGTTAGTGTTTAAGTGGAAAATGCATACTGTCCTGCTTCTCATCCTTTAAATGTATTAATGGGAAAGTAAAAATTTTATTTAATCAAATAACTTATGGGCATAATAGGCTACTGTTCTAAATTATGGCCAATTAAGTGAGAGGGACAGAAATAAAGAAAGGGGTAGGATTGGGGCAGAGGCGGAGACAATGGGAGAACAGGAAGTCGGCAGAGGACAAGGACAAAGGGAGAGAGAGACACAAAGAAAGAGCCAGGCAAATTATCCAGGGAAGAGAGAGAAAAAAGGTCAGAAAGACAGTAAAGGAAAAGGCACAAGCCCTCCCGCACGCACAGAGAGCAGAAGCACACAGAGAACGAGAGTCTGGCTTTTGTGGAGCGCGATCTCCATTTTCCCTAAGACACCTGCATCAAGACTTTAAAGTTTCTCAGCATGCTCACAACGGCAGCATCAACGGGCAGATTTTCTCTCAGAAAATGCTCCTTGGACAGACGAAACCAGAGCAGGAGCCAGGCCTGGCCTGAGTGCTGGCAGTATAGCCCCTATCCCCAAAGTGCCCACAAGCACACATGAAGGTTTGGAGGGAGATTGAGCCTACTGTCCCCAACCCCTTCCTCCCACAGGAATAAATCCTGCTCTAGCAGGTCTCTGGGTACTAGGGAGGGGAGTAGGCAGAGGATTTTTAAGGAACAAAGGAGAAGAGAGCATGCATGGGTTCTGAACCAGATATGCCCTCCACTCTGTGTAAGCAAGGGCGATGGAAGGAAAGAGCAGGGCCTGAGTGAGCAGGAGGTTTAAATTAAGCATTGAACCAAAGCTTGGAACCGTTAAAAGTACAAATTTCACTTGAAAGTAAAAATTGAATGAAGAGATTGCAAAACTGAGTGTTGTAAAATGTAAAAATTTCATATGGAATTTCTCATTTGTATGCATAAGCTGAAGGCAGGACAACATCAAGTATAAGTAAACTGGTGATACAGGCAGAGTGGTGTAATGACACAAGCGTGGGTCTGTGATGGATTTTGGACGTGGCCGGTGCCATTGTGCACACAATAAGCACCAGCACAAAATAGCCACAGGCCTCGTCTTCCACTCCAGCACCAAGCCCCTCACCTTTCCCTGTACGAGAAGCCTCCTGACTTAGAAACAACTTTCCGGCTTCTGCATTGGTGCAGTTCTGCACCTAGTCATATCAACCTAATGGTTCCTCCCCCTGTACATTTTGTGCCCAGAAGCTAATATAAACTCTTGCAAACCCATTGTTGGGTCTGTCCCCCATTTTCAGGCAGCTCCAGGCTGTCCTCCATTTTGAGCACAGCCCAGCAGATTTCTTTCTTTAATAAAGCTTGAACAGTACCTGGCATCTCGGCTCACTTTCTTTCATTGTGGTGCCGAAACCTGGGAAGGGTTTTGGCCAATGTTGTGGACGATCCCCTCTCTCTTGGGGTGATTGGCCCTCAGCCATCCTTCTGGACCTGCCAAAACTGGGTGCCTCTGGGACTCTACTTTTGCTGTTTCAGACCAATGTATCCAACACTGGCCTCAATTCAGGGTGAGTCAGTAGGGCTGTCCTGCCTACTTCTACGGTTCCCCGACTACTCTCTACAACTCAGGTCTCTACGAAGCCCAGGTGCCTGGCCAAGGGAACTCTTCTCATATCTCCCCACTATTGGAGGACACTCCTCTAGCCAGTTGGTGGCTTTTCACTTGAAAAGAAGGTGGGCACCAAAGGGGACGCCCTTTGCTGGCACACTTCTTCTACCAGGACTGACTGCCCTTTCTCACCCTCTACATGGGATCCTCACGACCCAAACCTCCATGCTCTATGCCCTTGGGCCATCTCCTGGCCAATTTCTTGGCCTTCAGGGAGACATTGAACCTAAACGTCCCATCTCGTTTTCTACTGTACTCTGTGCTCTATGCCTCTGGGCTGTCTCCTGGCCAATTTCTCGGCCTCCAAACAGACATTAAGACTCAAACACCTCATTACAATGGATCCCAGTGGCTACAAGATGGCACTCGATTTAGACACTCACCAAAGTGGCAAAAGCTGTAGACATTCCTTGTTCAGGCCTTTTCCTATCTCTGAACATGTTCTTCTCCCTGTCAAAACTGTCCTATGTCTCAAATTCTCCTAGCTCATGCTCAAGCTCTCCTTCCAGACTCGGATCAATCTTCTGATCTGTCTGCCCTCCACATTTCTCTCTCTTCCCCACACTTGGCCTCCAGATGCTCGTCCTCAGCCCAACTCCTCCCCTTCTCCCCCTTCCGCAGG